TGAGTCTTATCAGCATCCATTGCCCCTGGTCCCTGGGAAGGCAGTCAAACTCTGGAGACTTGTGGCAATAGTAAGTTTGGATTCATGAGCCTTGACATCTGCAGAGAATGTGATAATCAGTGAAAGTTAAAAGAACTTTGTCATGTATATGAGGAAGGCACTTTTTTAAGACTCCCAGAAGCCAGCAGGTGACATTTAGGAAGCCATAAAAGAGACCCAGAGATACAAGAATTGTTAAGGTTTATGAGATGCTATTTTTTTGAACTCTGGTCATGCACATTTTATTTGTTTCCTCTAGTTTATTTCCTTAAAGGCAATAAGTTACATCTTAGAACTAAAATTCTAGAATGGTAGAGCAGGAAGATGTCTTAAGAAAACTGATTCAGTCCCAAGACATTCCTTAAACTTGTTGGTGAATATATTACAAAGAACACATGGCTAAGAACCTGATCATGTAGAATAAAACAGAAGATATATCTGAAGGCCATAGACTAAAAAAAATATTGTACTTGTGTCAAACAACCCAAGAGAACAATGAATAAGTTTTTAATAATAATGACAAATGTACTGGACCATATTCTACCAGTTAGTACATTGTAATCATCTTTTATTCAAAGTCTTCCCTATAGAGAAGGGAAGTATGGATGCTGTAAATCTTGAAATATTTAGATGTTTTGTAGTATCTGAGTTATATATTACTTCTTCTTCTCTCACGCTGTGCTGTTTGGACCACATCCAATCCAGGACTGTACCAGCTCTGTGGCAAATGGAGGATCAGTGGTACTCTGACTGTCTCTTAGGATTTCGTGGGTTAGTAAATTCCATCTTGGTAATGACATCCAGTTTCTCCCTGGAAAAGCTACCCACATTCTTATACGCTACAGGCTACAAACATTCCTCTTCTTTCTGGAGGAAGAAAAAACCCTTTGAAAGATGAAAATGCTAACTTTATCTTCCAAGATCCGCAGCATTTTACAACCTCAGGCCTTGTATATCATTTTAGTCAGCTTTTTTTGCTGCTATGACTAAAAGACGTGACAAGAACAATTTTAGGGGAAAAAACATTCATTCAGGGGCTCACAGTTTCACAGTTCTTGGCCCATAGACAGGGCTCTATTCCTTGGGGCTGAAGGTGAGGCATAACATCAAGGTGGAAAAGTGTGGCAGAGGAAGGCAGTTCACATGATGATCAGGAAGCAGAGAAGGAGATCTCCACTTGCCAGATAAAAAATATATACCCCAAAGACACACCTCCAATAACCCACCTCTGCCAGCCACACCCTACTTGCCTTCAGTTACCAATCAGTTAATCCCTACCAGGGGACCAATACACTGATGTTTTAAGGATCTCATAACCCAATCATCTCACCTCTAAGCATTCTTTCATTGTCTCACAAGTGAATTTTGGGGAGAATCTCACATTCACACCAAAACATGTATGGTATTTCATTTCTGAACCTTTCACTCATCCCTGCCTACAATCAAACCTGCATACTATGAGACAAACAAACTCAACCAAGGTGAATGCAATCTTCTTTCACACAAACTCCATTCTCTCTCTCTCGGTCCTACTCCTATGCAACCATTCTATTCATCGAGGTAATTCACTTTTCTTCCACAAGTCCTTTACTTCCCTTTTAATACTCTCTAGTGTCAAATATGCACATATATGTATATATAATATATACACATATATATTTACATATTACATTGTTCTGATTTGTGTTTAGTTCTCAGTTTGCCATAGAACGAACCTTTGTATTTTTATATTATGTTACAACTCAGATGGTGAGAACTGATTTATGTGACAACTTCTTCTATAAGGCCAGATTTCACATTGGATGTTACTTTTTAAATTTTTTAGAATTGTGCTTTTATATTCCAGAAATTTTCCTGTATTATCTAATTCGTAATCATCCCCAATTCTGTTGGTATTGACATTCAATAAAAACATACAAAAAGAGAGGCCTAATAATGTTCTACAAAAACTTAGTAACAAAATATGTATTATTTATATGATCAACACTGATTTTCTTTTATATCCTTGAAACTAGACACTAAGAAAATTTTTTGTAGATTTTTGTGACAAACTTATTTTATTTCAACTGTTCAAATATTCCCCCATATCTCTTCAATTTTCTCCCAAATATCTCTTTCCAATTTTAAATGTTTGATGAGCTACACATTAAACACCTGATCTTTTCTTTTTCTTTTTCTTTTCTTCCTCTTCTTTACAAAAGAAATCATGTCTCTGCTCAAAGAGAAATCTTCAGGATGCTTTCCCCATGGTGACTGTTTTGGGTAAAAATATCTCTTTAGAAAATACCATGCCTATTATGTTATCAGCAAAACAGCCTTTTACAATGGTGACAGTGCAGACCAATAATAGAAAATTTACAAGCTTGATGAAAATCTGCATTTGTGGAAAAATGAGTCTGTGCTTCATTTTTATCTTAAATAATGATAACATTTTTATGGGATTCATTGGTATATAACAGAATTTTAAATTTCTGTTTGTTATACGTGACCTTTAATTATCAGAGAAAAGGTAAGCAAGTTTCAATCTGCTATTGGGAAAACATTCTGAAAACTTTATTTTGCTTAAATCATTTGGAAAGAAACAAAAATATTATCTTAAATATGCATAGAATTAAATAGATTGTTTTGTTTAAAAGTACAATAAATAATATCTTTACATGAATGTTTACAATCATCCTGATGATTGGAATAGTTCAATTTCTCTAAGATGAAACAACTGACACTATAAAAATCAAACTAGCATTCTTCCCTGAAGACATGAGCCCCCTGTGAGTCACTCCTTCACAGAGGCTGAAGTAAGCCTCAAATGATAGCCTTATGTTAAAATAAAGTGAAGGAGGAGTGCCTGGAAACGTGAAGAAATTAAGAGGCTTGAATTCCAGAGAGAACAAGGCTTATATAATGAACATCTTATCTTTGTAGGTGATATATTTGGATCCAGTTGATTCCATTGATTTTTTCCATCAAAAACTAATAATAATAATCCAAACAAATGAATGCAAACTGAATTCAGAGTAGAAAACTCAGAATCCAGGAATGTTTACAATTAGCCATTATCAAACATTGTTCTGAGACAGAAGACAAGGCCATTTGAATTTCCTTCTAGGGAGAAACCAAAGGGCAGTAAACACTAACTTTTCTTTTCTTTGCTCCATATCATTAATAAGTAAATATTTTTTCTACTCTTGATTTTTTAATTGTCCAATTCTACCAAAACATTTCAGTAGACAAGGATGATTTAGAGTGAGAGAGCCTTTGTTTTTTCACCTGATTCAGAAGCTGTTTTGGTATCACTGATCTGTTTACATCACTCATAGTTTTTTTTTTTTTTTTTTCCCATATGTTTGCCTATTGTGATGAATCATCACCATGGTTAGCACCATTTCCCTAGATATTTTTTTGTAAGCAGATTTCTAGATTCTATCACACAACAGTGTGACAAAATAGCATTTCAAAATACAAATTGATCCCTTCCCCGCTCTAGGTTCCCTGTGATTTTTGGTGTTCCTTGGTTCTTTTGAAAATTCCTAGAGCAGGGAAAATCATCATATAGCAAAAAGGTGCAAAAAGAAAAGCAGACAGTCCAAGGAAAGATTTGATATTTTGAATTCCCTTTTTCCAAAGAAAACTTGGTTCTAAGTAAAATTTTAACTCTCTGAAATTGATGTTTCCTACTCCTTAAATAGATACATTTCTCAGTGTAAGTAGATACAAAGTGGAAGAAATAAGTATAATACTGTGAACTCCCAAGAAAAAGGAAACTCTCCAGACAGCTTAAGGGTATGTAAGAATGGAGGTGGCTTATGGTGTCCTTTCTAGATTAGTTTAGAAGTGGCAGCAATAATTCTAGGAAGAAATGGTGTCAGTGTACATGCCAGCAGATGAGCCTAGGTAAAGTGAAAAGAGGAAAGAGCTAATCCTTGTATCCCACTCTATTAGAATAATCCTGAAATCATCTAAAAAAAAAAAGAAAAAGAAAAAGAAGTTCAAACATGCAGATGCTATGGTCAAGGACATTAACCCACAGGAGTGATGCAGTTGTTATAATTCAGTATTGATAAAACCTTCTATGCTTTCATATCGATATTTTATTCTTTAAGTTAACTAATTGCATGTCTTCTTTTTTAAAAATCAATTCTAAAAAGCCCAAGAAGGCAATGACTTCTTTTTTCATCATATATACATTATAGTGCCCTATAAAAATGAGAATTATAGAAAAGTTGCCATTGACTGCTTACCTTAGAACCAAGATACATATGCTCTTCTACTGGAATTGCCCTTCAAGAACTGTAGTCATCCTGAGAAACTAACTTTCTCTTATTGTAGGAAAAAATGTATTTGCACATTTCTAGAGCTAGTAAGAAGTAATGAATACAAAATCCCTATTAATGTATCATAATTAAACTCTACTAAACAGATCACCTTAAAAACTTGATGGACTGTAACTGTAGATACCAAAATAGAATAAATTAAAACCTCAATTTCACCTGACTCTGAAGCTTTCTTTATCCCAGACTCTTGAATCCGAATAATAGTGTAATTAGTTCTGGGACCTAAGAACACTTAAACATCCAGACTCTATTTTTTTCACTTTTTAATTTATTTTTTAATGAAAAAAATCTGAAGTAAGTTAATATCCATGGTGCTGTGGAATTTGAACTGAACTGTTTTCTAGTTAGATTAGAATTTAACTAAAGTGATACTACTAATACAGACTCAGAAACTAGTCTTTTAATGCATATTTAGTACCTCTTTCAAATTTATCTTTCAAAGGTTAAAAAAAACACGGCAATTTATCAAGTCTTCATTAATATTTTACATAAAAAAATACAGCCTATATGCTTAGTTGGCAACATTGTGGTTACTATGGTTTACTGACCAAAATATAATAGGTATCATATAAGAGTTAGTAGTTACATGTAGAGAGAAAGTAGGCCACTGGAAGTCTCCACAATCCTTACCTTTATAATCACTGTGACAGTAGCAATACCAGGAGGCATTGTTCCATAAATATCAAAGGCCTCCACCAGAAAAGTGATACTTGCTTCCTGGTCTCGAAATGCCTCATAATCCAAACTCCTCAAAAGGGATAGCTCTCCTGTAAATGGATGTAGTGCAAAAAAGTGCTTCACTTCAGGGCTTCTTATCCGATATGACACATTTGCTCCAAGGTCAACATCTTTGGCCTGTAACAAGTTAAGTAAAAGAATGTTTTGTTTTGTTTAATCAGTGGTATTGCCAAAATAGAGGCAAGCAGAATTGATGATAGTCATGTGTCAGTGTCTGGGACAGCAAGAGTTTAATGATGACCAAAAGACATGTCTGTAAAGGCAGGTAATTTGTTAAGTAATTCATCATTTATTAGCGAAAGAAAGAGGTAGAGGTTGGGACAGAGAGAGAGAGGGAAAGGAAGAGTTAGAGTTGGGAGAGAGAGAGAGAGAGAGAGAGAGAGAGAGAGAGAGAGAGAGATCTATCCATGGGGTTTTATGATTGATTTTAAGACTATATCTACTTTATTTGGAAGACCACTTGTTAAATGAATCATAGCAAAGTAAAGAAATAAATCATGTCATAAATCATTGTTTTCTGCTGGTTTAATAATCATGAAACTATTATAAATAAAAGTAATTATTGGGTAACTTTCATAAACATAATAGAACACTCACTGTAAGAAAATGAAAGACATAAAAGGAGAAATTTGTTCTCACTGAAATCCTATAATACATTCCTGAAGATCATTCCTTTATAACTTCTTTCCTCTAACCAGCCTCTAGTGGATAGTTAAAGGGGATATTGAGAAACCATCCCCTTTCTGTCTCACTTTGCTTCCTGGTTGCCATGAGGCAAATAGGATATTAGGTACAATGTACTATGGAAAAAGCCAAGATGAATCAACCCCAAAATCCTTCACTCTAGGTTATGGCCTCAAAGAAGAAATAATTATACAAGTACACAAATAGAAGGAAAAAAAAAACAATGTTATCTGAAAAGCACTCAGAATTGGAATTTAGATGAGAAGATAGGATTTTTGTTGAAGTGGGACAGCTATTTCATTCAGTAGAATAGACTGGGAAAAGCACCTAAGTTAGAGGAAATAAAACAGCAAGAACAAAAATCGGGATAGTTCGAGTTTGTTGAATGTACATTCATTAATGCAAGCGCCTTCTTTGTAAGTTTCAGTCTTGTTTTCCTCTAATTACTGGCATCACAACTATAAAGTTATTGTCAAAGCACAGATATTACCGTGCTATATTCCTGCCTACAATTCTCAATATTCATTTCAATTTGCATTAACCACTGTGTTATTTAAAGTTAGATTACTGTGACAAAGTACCTGAGAAAATCAATTTATAAAGGGGGAAAAGTTATTTTTACTCATATGGTTTCTGTCCTGGGTCACATTTCTATTACTTTGGGCCTATGGCAGCACAGTACATTATAGTAGTAACTCCTGACAGAAGAGGCCTATTTGCCTCATGGCAGCCAGGAAGCAAAGTGAGACAGAAACGAGATGGTTTCTCAATATCCTCTTTGAGGGCACATCCTCAGTGACCTAACTTTCTCCCCCTAGGCTTCACCTCCTAAAGATTCCACAGTTTCCCAACAGTGCCATAAGTTAAGGACCAAACTTAAGATATATGGGCCTTATGAGGGCATTCAACATCCAAGTTATAGGAGCACCAACTCCCTTAACATGATGAGATGGACCACCAGATTTTCTAGTTCTAGCCCCTCAAACTTCACCCTGTCCTCCAGGATTTTGAGAAGATTTTTTTTCCATCATCTTAAATAATCTTTTTTTCTCTCTTTATTTAGAGACTCTGACTTGCTCCTGAGTTGACGATTTAGAAATAACTTTCATGAGAAAATGTTCTTTTGATGCTCAAGCATAGTTTAGGAGTTCCGCCTCTGATTTTGTCAGCCACTGGTCTTAATAATCACTGTTTTAATTACCAATCTATTTGTCTTTTTAGTAAACCAGACTGAAAATATCAGAAAAGTAGGAATTCTGTCTTGTTAACTTATTCTTGTATTCTTGATGTCTTCAAGAGAAATTGGCATACAATTAGACACTGAAGATATGTGCTTGTTGAATGAAAGGATGGTTGAATAGATGCATGGAGGATAAAATAGAGAGATAATGGTTTTCTATCTGTTAAGTATGTGCCTTAATTAGATTCCTTAATGTTTATTGAATAGTTAAATCTTTGTTGAGTTGAATTATGGAAGAAATACAGATTCTTGAAAAGCATTCTATCAAAATTCAAGTTATTCTTAGCAGGAGGAATGAATGATTACAATATTTCAAAATGCACTTCATAGATCTCCTATATAAATTAAGTGGTTGCTAAAAATGCAATTAATGGGTCAATCTGACCTACTGAACCAAAATATTCAGTTTCTGGGAATGTTACAGTGAAGGTGTTAAAAGAGATTTGGATATAGAGATGAAATTTTTAAAAAGTAAGTTAGAGCCTTAGAAGATGCTTGTTGTACACGTAAAGTGAAAAAGAATGTACAGTATGATGGATGTAACAATATCTGCAAAATACAGGAGAAGCACACATGTATATCTGTGTATACATATATGCACATACCTGCACACATGCATATTTGTCCTAGAACAAAGGTTAATGTGAAAAATACACACAATTGAATATTGAATATTTAAGTAATAATATATTTTTTTCTTTATGAGATGTTTTCCAATGTTACAAAAATATACAGCTTAACTTTGTAAATAAAAAATATCTGTTAGAAAGTATATTTTTTCTTACAAATTTGCCTTTTTTCCCATTAATTCTGCGGGATCTCCCAATGAGAGGTTGTCACAGAAAATGCAAAATACAATATTTGATATATAATATATAATATAATTCCTTCATTTTTATGTGAAACTAAAATGTAAGTGGGTTAATTGTATTTTTGCTGCTGCTGATTTTGGATACATCACCCTAATTGCAAATCTAATAATTCAGAATTAATAAAACTAATACTTTTCCATATACCTCTATTTTAAGGAAGGTGGTCCCAGCTGGCAGATTCTCTTCCACAACAACAGTGTATGTTGAATTGGTGAACACTGGACTATTGTCATCAATATCCAAAACCTTGATGGCCAGTGTTAGAGTAGAATGACGAGGGTGTACTGCTCCGTCAGTTGCCACTACAACAAGTTCATAGTAGTCCCTGACTTCTCTGTTAAGCTTCACTGCAGTGTAAATGCTCCCATTGGATGTGATGCGGAAAAGATTATTGAAGTTACCCAAACTGTAGTGCACTTGGCCATTTATTCCAGCATCAGGGTCTGTTGCCTGAAAGAAATCAAAAACAAAGAATTCACATAGTAGCTTCTGGTATGTTCTGACATATTATGGCATTTTCCTAATCAGATATTCTTTTTATCTCTAATGAGAAAATTTAAAAGATAATGAAGATGAAATGCACAGTCCAAAACATGAAAAGGGATATACATAATTTAGTTAGCATACTCATTCAAAATGAGCATAACTTACACATTGATAACATCATTAGCATTACAATAAGATATTATGACAGAAAATACATATTATAAAGATACTGAATGTTTCATGTATTATTTTTAATAGATTTTGAATGCCAAAGTAAGACAAAAATTTATTTTTTAATTAAAACAATTTCCTGAGTAATAACTTAAATGTCTATGTGTTTGCATTCAAATTCTTTTTATATTCATTTTCATATTTAAATATGTTTTAGCACTATGTGTTTTTACCTCATTTAATTCTCCTGATGTTTTTAGTGAGTAAATATTGGTCCTATTTTGTAAATGGAAAAATGTGGCTTATGGAATTTAATTGTATTGCCTAGGGTAACACAAGAAATAAATACTTCAGTGTCCCAGTTCTTAGTACAATGTCTCATATATAAAACTACTTAATAAATACTTGTGAAATTAATGAATTTATGTTAAATGAATGTATGGAACTGAGATTTGAAACTAAATGCATTCAAAACCCAAGTGAGAATAAAAATCCAGTAATTGTAAAGTATAAATGCAAGGGGCTACTTTAATATTAGAATATAAATATCCATAATAATAGAGAACAGTTGGAACTATAATAAACCTAGTGAAAATATTTAAGTCCTGAAAGGTACGTTGTATCAAAACAATGAGTAAATTTTAGGTGAATATTCTAAAGGAATATTATGAAAATTAGTCTAACTAATATTATGAAAATTAGTCTAATTCAATAAATTGTTTTCTAAACAATGACTTTGCACTATCAAATACTTAACATTTTGTTTTAAACAATTCTTTGCTATTGTTCTTCAAAAAACACTTGATGCATCTAGGAAGAGGTGAAATGTTACAGTTGTACTCAAAGCTATCAGCAAGAAAAGGAGGGAAAACAAGATGCTTGAGTGCTTTCTACATCAAGAACACAATAGTCAGGTAATGAATGCAGATCCTGGGATATGATACAATTCACTTTAAAATGTTTTCTGAATTTTTTATTATTAGTTATACATAACTAATAAGTAGAACATATTTTGACATATGTATATATATATATATATATATATATATATGTATATATATGAAGTATAACTTCTTATTTTTCTGGTTGTACATGATATAGAATTACATTGGCTGAGTAAATCATATATGCACATAGGATAGTAATGTCCAATTTTTTAGCAGTACACATGCAGTTCCACTTTGAGCTTTATAAACAATGGAGAGGGATGCACAGTTTTGTCAAATCTTGAGTCTAGTTTGAATTGATAAGTCCAATATGTGAAACGTGTTTTTAACTGTGCTTCTTCTACAGGTCAAAATACCAGACATTTCAACAGTGTTTGTCCCTTAGACTCATCAAAACAAAAGTGCCCTCGGGAGGTCACCCTCTCTTGAGGCTTAATCCTGAAAAAAAGACAGCAGAAGAATTATAGTATTGCCGAAGGAGGAAAGAAATACTATGAAAGAAAAGAAGAGTTTCTATAGATGCATTTTCTTCTATTTGTACATTTTGTCTAAACTTTGTCACAAAAATTATTGACAAATTAGTCAAGCTGACCATCTTTGCGGAAAAAACAAAAAACAGTGTGTACAACTCCCAAAATAAAACTGTGAATTTTATTTTATTTTTCAAAATAACTGAAGATAAATAAATGCTTTAGTAATATAAGTAGGTTTTACTTCATTACTCTAACAATCTTGCAATTTTCAGTAATTTTTCTGTCTCTGAGACACTTTAGGTCACAAAATCAGTCATTTATGCAATCAGTAATTTTAAATGACACTTGCTTGGGTTATTTTTTATTCATCCACATAATTGAAGGTTTATTGATAAGATATTCAATTTAACTACTATGACTGATTTGTGTGTATGTGTGTGTGACTGTGTGAGTGGGTGTATATTTGGAGGGGAGAGTGTTGTATATGTGTTCCTCTATAAATATCCAGCTGATATCTCCATTAGGACTCCCAATATATATCTATACAAATTTTACTTGACTTACTATAGGATTACATCCTGATCAACCTATTGTAAATTGAAAATGTTGTAAGCAAAAAATGTGTTTAATACATCTAACCTACTGAACTTCATAGCTTAGCAACACAGTACACAGTAGAGCATTGGTTATTTACACTCAAGAAAGCATGACTAAGTGGGAGCTGTTTCTCTCTTGTTGCTGCCCAGCATCTTGAAAGGGTATTACACAACATATTGGTAGCCTGGGAAGAGATCAAAATTAAAAATTTGATGGACAGTTTTTATTGAATATGTATTGCTTTTGCACTATGGCCAAATTGAAAAAAAAATAAAAAAGATAAATTGAACCATTATACATTAAGGGACTGCCTGTATTGGTTTTCTTTTCTTTTTTTTTTCCTATATTGGTTTTCTAGTCTGTATCAGATACTATAACAAATTACCAGTTTATCAGCTTCTGCAAAACAAGTTCATTATTTTAAAGGTCTGCAGGTAAGTTAAATATAGGTCTCACCTGGTTAAAATCAAAGTATAAGAAAGACTATGTTCTATGGAGTCTCTAAGGGAAAACTAATTTCCTTACTCACTCAAGTTGTGGACAGAACTCAATTGCTTGAGGTTGTAGGACTGAAATCCCCAGTCTTTTGGTGGTTGACATGTGAGGACCAATCCCATCCTTCTAGCTGCCATTCACATCCTGTGACTCCTGGCACACTGCCTCATCTATAAGAGCAGCAGTGGTGGCCAATTCCTCTGGAATTTTTTGAATTGCTCTTCTTCCATCTCATCTCTGACTGGTTCTTCAGTCACCCTATTGCACTTACTGGGCTTACATGATTCAGTAGGCTTACCTTGACAATCCAGGGTAATGTTATCATTTCAAAGTCCTTATTTTTAATCACACTTCTTGCAAATATATAGTAACTTATACTTTCTGATAAGATGATTTGTTGAGAGAAAATATTCAAACAGACAATTGGTAGGAAGACTGAAAACAAATGTTAGATGGGTCATCCTCACAACAGGCTTTTTAAATGTTTTTTAAATCTCTTAAATTAGCTCAAATGTAAGTAATATGTCATGTACACACACACACACACACACACATACACATGAAGACTGAGCAGATCTATTACCAATGAATTTACTGGACATCTGGTATTCATGAAAGGAAGTATATATGATTCTTATAGAACAAAATACTATATATTGTGCAGGAATTTACTCTAAAAATTGTAAGATTACTCAAATATACAGCTAATGAAGACAAATGGACTAAAATTTCGCAAAATGCAAAGTTATTCCCCTGTCTTTTTTAAAAATCTCTTGATTAATTGAAGAGTAAACAAAGTTTAAGTAAAGTGGCATGGGCTACCTAAGCAAGGTTTTTTCACTTACTTGCTATTATATATGAGTATATAGATGTTAGACGAGATGACTAAACACAGAATCCCTTATTTTCAGCAGCACTCACTGTCAAGAACTTTGCATCCATGTTTAATATCTAGCCAAGCAGCTCAGTATGTGATGCTATAATGAAACGATTTATCTTCTTAGAAATCAATTAAAAGTTAATTAAAATTGTTAATAAGAAAAATCACACATGTCTTCTCCCCTTGTACTACATCAAAGGAATAAACACTATAGCTGCAACTTTATAATTGTCTGTCCATGGTTAACACATTTTTGTAATATCTACCTTACTATGAGGCTTGATTTGCGGCTACTTATTTGTAAATGCATATTGCTGGTAAATTGGCTGATAGTCTGTTGACAAATATAGACCTTGAAAAAATAAAAATAAAGACCTCACTGGACAAAACTTTGAATATTTTCCAGGAAAAAAAATTGTCATATCTTAAAGTGAAAACGTTAGATATATCAGAAACAACCAAACAATTATTTAAGAATGAAATAGAATGAAGTGATTATACGAGAACATTTATTAAGCAAATGTTTTCTGAACAACTTATGTGCACCAATTTATCCTCTTGCCATTTGAAAGGGAACAAGATATGATATTGATTACGCATTGAATTCATCCCCTTTCTTTGTTCATTATCACTTTATAGCGATCTACTACACAATTGTTCCAAGAAGAAGAGGAGGAGGAGGAGGAGGAGGAGGAGGAGGAGGAGGAGGAGGAGGAGGAGGAGGAGGAGGAGGGGGAAATGGAACCTCAACTCTGGAATTCCTACACTGTGGATTCCTGTAGAAATCTAGAAGCATGTCTGTATCAATGAGATGAATTGGGATAAAAACCCAAAGGAGAGCCAGATGCTTGTTCCTCTTCTATTAAAAGGTACCTGGGTAGATAATGTGTTCTGTTTGTCAATTATTAGTTTCACTTTAAAATACTTTTATACTGGGGCTGCAGTTGTAGCTCAGTGGTAGAGCACTTGCCTAGCACCTGTGAGGAACTGGGTTTGATCCTCAGCACCATATAAAAATAAATAAATAAAATAAAGGTGTTGTGTCCATCTACAACTAAAACATATAAATAAAAATATTTTTGTTCTTATTCAGATTATTTAAAGAAAAATATTTTTCTTTATTTTAACAAAACTCAACTAAAAGAATTATGTAGAAAAAAGGAAAATAATAAGCTATTAAAAACTTGTGAACTCTTCTGTGCCTTTAATGGATCCAAGGAGAGGCTGAGCAGGAGCTTCCTCTTCTTTGTGCTTTTCCTTGACAGTAACTTAAGAGGCCATGAACTCCCACTCCGTTCTTACCTCCAAGTGGGAACCATAAAAGACGTTGAGTGGAAAGGTCAGGTGAAGTTTGGCAGTGATTTTTGACGTTATTAAGGGAAACATATTTTTTTTAATTTA